GAAAAATGAAAATGTTGAGTTTATGCCTAATTTCTGCTGCTTAACATGAGAGGCATACCACTTTTCTTAAAAATTTTACGAGATTTCATAAAGCAATAGGATTATTGGGGATTATTCACGGGTTTTTCTTGATAACCAACCAAAGGATTTCTCCCAAAGGTTTAAAAAATTTCTACGGAGTGATATGCCCCTTGGCTTACCATGCATTCTGCAAAAAGGGCCTTTAACTTATTCCAACAAACTATAATACAAATTGAATAAACGCGTTTGTCAAACATTTGGATCCATTTTTTATCTTATTGACTGACAGTGAAAAAACAACGGTAAAATGGAAAAAATGCTCTGTTAACTGCCAACTGGAACCAAGGCCCTGAGGTTATTATATTTTCCTTGCTTAATCCTTCTGAATTAAATCCTAGTCAGATGGGGATGAGTGTCAATATACTCATTTTTATAAGAAACGGTAGGCTCAATTTTGCGAAAGTTGAGAAACAACCCTTACCCAAATTGAAAAAAGCTAAGAAACTTTTATGATTAGCATTTTTTCAAGTTGACACTCAAAACAGTCTTGAAATTGAACATCACTGTATATTGCAATTCTACACTTGACATGAAGTTTGCACTCATTCTCAGCAAATTGCAAACTTTAGAAGTTTCCATTAAAAAATTTGTTTTGACTTCAACTTGACAGCGATGAGGTTCAATGAGCTTAACTGTTTACAGATCTCAACAGAGTTAGTGATGCTAGGAAAAAAAATTCTTTGGTCATTTTTTCTTAGTTTATCTTTGAATGTGAGTGAACTATTACTTTGGAAGCACGTTTACTTTACTTTGGAAGCACGCTTAAAAAATTCATTACCCATGAAATTTAAGAATCAAGTAAGAAACTTTTGATAGCAAAATAGCCAGAAAATTTAAGAAACTGCCTAAGAGCACGGTACCTTTGTTTCATATAAAAAATACGTGCACCTAGGTATGAAAGTTTTTCTTAAATTTTCCTGTTTTCAACTTGAATCAGATTAATAAACATATCAATCCATTAATGTTATGTACCAGATCAAAATCAATAATCCAAGTTCATATAGCGGGTAAAAGAATACTTCATATAGTTCAACAGCTCTCACCTTTCTCCCTTAGCTCCTCTACACTGTCTGCCTCCACCAGGGCAGTGACCCTCCTACTTCCTCCCTCGTTCGAGAAGCATGCCCAAATCCAAGTCATCTGAGAAAAAAGAGGCTCATCATTCACAAGCAACGAAATTATAGAAAGAAGGTATAGCAAACATGAAATTAACCCAGAATAGTAATCTTTTGCAATGAAGAGCGATTCAGCAGTTTTTTGTGGCAGTAAACGTCTTACCTCTATCACGTTTATTTCGAACTAAAGCAAATTTCGATTCGACCACCTCCACAGTCTTAACAAATGAAGTGTCAATTAACCTGTTGTTTTTTGAGCGCCAAAAGCTAAGACTCAAGCAAAGACACGTGAATGAGTCTACATCCTGTCGACTTTGTCACACCTCATCAGAATGACCTGATGGCTGTTTCAATTCAATGTAAATTTGTAGAATTTGAACTGAAATTACGCTTCCACTTATAGTATAGTCACAACTTTGCTATAAACTTGCATGTTTGCCACCCACAATAGTGAGAGTTACAAATTTCCTGCTCTTCCCAATAATTATGAACTTGTTCCCTAATAAATAAGGCTGGGCGATGGTCAGTGGCGAAGACAACAGCCAGTGCTTCTTCTCTGTGGCCAGGAAAATGCCGATTGGGGGGGGGGGGGTTGTTTGCAGATGTTTGCAAACTTCAAGAAAGTTGGTCACAGAGCATTAATTAGAAAGTTTGACCAAATCTCAACCTATAATACATTTATTTTATTGGTCATGGTTGGTCATAGTCAACTTTCTTTTTGTAATACACTCTTTTTTTAAGAACAACACGGGCATCAAAACTGGTCAAAAATTAAATACAAATTAAGAACAGGCTGAGGCTGAGCTACTGTAAAATGCAATTTTGAGCAACGCTTTATCTAAAAAATGAGGACTTTTAGCAGTGGCGGACTGGCAACCATTTGACCCACCGGGAAAAGCGGCCAAAAGGGCACCAGGAAAGGAAACGGGGGATCGGGGGATGGCCCCCAGAAAGTTTTTTTAAATCACCCTATTTAGAATGTCGGAACATGTCCCATGTTGAAAATCAAAGTTTTATATTTACAATTGGCATTGGAAGAATTGACTTTCTCAGTCAAATTGGCTTTATTTGAAACGTCTACACGGCTGACAAAATTTGTAGGTACCAAATGATGTATTGCCCTCAATTTTAGGTATCAAATGGTGATTTTTCAGCTAGCGAGACACTATCTTCCAAGATTTTACAAAGAAAGCAACTTCTCTGGCCTAGGAGACGAGATTCTGGCCAATTCTTTTGCAAAAAAATAGAATTTTTTTCAAAATCTTTTGTTATGGACGTTAAATTTTCCCTTGCCCCCCCCCCCCACTTTTCAATCTTTGTCGGAGGAAGGAGCCTTCAATCTGCAAAATCAATTTCCGCAAAACGGACGGCAGCAGGGTCTCTTAAAATCCATTTGTCCTAGATATGTTATTAGATACTTTTCGGACAAGTCGACAGTTTAAAGCATATGTTCAATCCACCTGATCATAATTCTGCCCCTTCGTCGGAGGCCATGTCTGTATGAGAAACTGTGCGTAGACATGGTAAAAAGGATAAAGAATTTCTTAAGAAAAAGCACAGTCTCTATTCTGGAACAAAATTTTGAAGGAAGATTGGAATACTTTAATAGATAGTTGTTAATTTGAAACCAGTTTTTTTTCAAAACAGCCAGTTTAATTTTCTATTAACTTTAAAGAAGGTTCGTACAACGTCCGTATAAAGTTTTTTAAAAAGTTGTCAAGAATTTTGGCTCCAATAAGTCATAATTTCTTTTGGGCACGAAATTTCTGGTTGTAACGTACAAACAGGGCCGCCCAGAGACGCGGCCTGGGCCCTGGGGCAAAGTCCCTGTTGGGGCCCTAGAGTCGGATACAAAAATTTTTTGAGACCACGCCCTTCATAAAATGGGAAACGCCCATTATTTCCAAACGTTTGCACACGTTTGCTTTTTCAGTTGCAAATTGATCAATGATATTGTCGTAATCAATTTGTCTTGCTAGTTCGTGCTCCATCGAAAGAGTCACAAGGCTTGATAGTCTGTCTTGAGTCATTGTTGAGCGTAAGCTGTTCTTTATTAATGCTAGTTTGCTGAAAGGGCCCCCAAAAATATAATATAACTTTATGCAACGATTCTAAATGCAAACATAACTCACTTGAACGGGCCATAGATAAAAACAAGATGATATGGGTTACCTAATTTTTTATCAGGGCTCTCTTCCCCCAATAAGTACGATTTTGCGAAACTCAGGAAAACTCAGCTTAAAAGATGAATCCGTAAAATATGTGATCTAAGGTTTATTCAGCTTTTCTCGGGGCCCCAGACTCAATAAATAAAGCTGATAGGCCTTAAATTCAAACAAGAGTCAGTGTACGGACCCAATGAAATAACTGCCATCATTTTCGATATTAACAAATATATCTTTAAATGCATTTTCAGTTTCTCAAAAGAAGACATTTTAAAAAAATTTTCAGAATAATTTTGGGGCCCCTTTCTGGCCGAGGCCCTGGGGCAAATTGCCCCCCTGCCCCCTCTCTGCGCCACTGCGTACAAAAAGAGAGAACAAGCGCAATGAATGGCCCCTCATATGTTTTATTAAGATGCACTATTGGGCATCTTTTCGTGCATGAAATCATGAAGTCCGAACTTTTTATGGGTGATTTTGTGAATAAAAATGCCATGTAAAGCGCAAAACATGAGTTTTTCTTACTCTTCTTACATGAAAAAGCATTAAGAATCCGTGAATTTGTTAACGAAATTTTGAATGGTAATTTCAAAAATTGCCTCAATGTTCTGCATAATAAACCAAAAATAGTTAAACCCAGCGGCATAGCCAGGGAGGCAAGGGGAGGGTGATTGCTCCCCAATGATAAAAAAATTGATGTTTTCGTTGCGGCTAATTTTGGCTCATGTGGCTGTTTTTGGCCAGTTTTGGTTATTATTTGGTATGTTTGGGTCATTATATGTAATTCCATAAGCAGGTTCACCTCCTTTAGATTAGCCAATAAAATGCAATTGCAAATTTTGGCTGGAGAGGCCCTTTAAATAACATCGGTCGTTTTTTATGTAAACTTTTGAGGAAAATTTGAAATACTTTGACAACTTTGAAATACATTGAAAAAGTTAGATTCCATGAGCCCTCCCCGCGAAAAAGCCCAAAACAAAAAATTAATTTTTGCAAATAAGCCCCCGGGAGCTTATTATAGGATTTATGGTGTGTCTATATTCAGAAAGGGTGTTTTTCTAAAATCTAACTAACTTTTACCGGGGCGTTTGCACCCAGAATCCCATTCTTATTTTCCTCCGTTTTATAACAACCTGTGCTGCCTAAAGGTAATGTGTCCATATAAAAGTACTGCATATACCCAACTTGTCAAGCCACTCATCAAAATAACAGTTTGCTATTGGTTAGTATTCTTGCGATGCAAAACTGCTTACATGAAAAGCTAACTTCGCAGCAGGATAGATAAACAGAACGACTGTAATGTCCTCTACGTGCATATCCTCGTAACGTAAACTTTCCAGCTCGTCATCATTTTTTTATCTGTTTATCTTTGTATTAGCTGTTTGCTGTTTTCTGAGATTTATTGTTAATTTGTAATTATGTTAACTTGTAAGTTACAAACCTACAAGCCTTATATATATATATAAAAAAAATAATGGCTGGGAATGTTTCTAAAAGCCCCCGCAGAGTCGCTTGCTTAAGCTGGAGATATTACCTTTAATGTTCAAAAGTATTACACTATTCTTGACTTTAAAAAGAGATCGCCATGTTTCGGGCTTGGAATAGGAGCTAGAATGGGCATGACAAAGACATACCCCTAAGCAATCGTGTTAGATCTGTCCGGGTCCTCCACCGGTCCTCTGTTCCACGATGAATGACTAAACCCAGCCCTTTAGAACATCAAACTCTACTTGTACAATACACTGGCATGTTATCTATATTTTAAACTGTACATCAACCATTTCCATAGATATAGGGAGTAGATCAACAACATTTAAGGTTGGGTACTAAGAAAACGACAAAATGTGGCAATGTTCCACCTCTTCATGGTGGCCTTGATTATGAGTGAAAGTCAATTGACAAGGTGATAGATTGCCCTGACTACAGCTAGTGGGATGGCAATTAAGTAAATATGACAGAACGCACAAATCAATGAACATAATATTATTGTACACATGAAGTTGAAGCTAACAAATTAAATACCGAAATAGCGAGGATTTAAGACCCAATAAACATGTGGTGAGACTACCTGTGCTGGTGCTCACCTTTGGCGCCCACTTTTTCTGGTGTTTACACTATACCCACTGTTTCGGCAATTTGACTTTCCATTGATGCTGATTTGGGCTTCTATATTTCATTACTTTTTGGTTTTGGTGCTAACAAGTGACCTTGTTATAGAAATTTCATGCCTCGTTTCCGATCTGTACCTGTTTGGGTCATTGTTTTGGATCGGCTCCTGCCATTTATGTGAGTGACAGGAATTATGTAAAATAGACATCCAGTTACACGTTTCCTCTGTCCAAGTGGATGGAACTTTAGAAACAACCCAATTTATCTTTAGTAGTTACAAAATCGTATGGAGAGAGAGTAGGAGCTACATTATTTTAATGCAGAAATAAGTTTTCTTTTTGTGAAATGAACGAATTGCTTTTGTTTTGGTGATGATTTACATTACCTGCCCACTTACCTTTTTAAGCCAAATTTCAGAAATTTGCCTTTCCAGGACGAGCTTGGCTTCAAAAAATGATATGGATTAGATCTAAAATTTGGCTTTGTAAAAAATACTTGTCCCGCAAAATGTTGATTTTAGTTTATATTTAGTAAATTTAATTGATACGGGCTGCTTTGCCAGCTTGCTTCCCATTAGAGTGCTTTTCCGTCCGTGTGTTGATATTAGTGTTTCAATGGTTGGAGGTTACATAGCCAAAGACAAAAGTAAAGGCAAAATACAGAATTTAATTTTAAGGGCACTAAATGTGCAGTGTTGAGAAACTGTTGAGAAATTAAGGAACTGTTGAGAAACTTCTAGATCTACAATTTGATGATTGGAGGTCCAAAAATAAATAACTTCTTGGGCTTTTGGAACTAGGCCTTGAGCTAAGTTTCTAATAAATAAGGCATGTTAGCGTAATATAATGATAGATACTTCAATAAATACAACGCTATTTGCACTTTTGGACCATTTTTGTGACAATTACGGGCAAAATAACGCTCAAACAAGTAACATTTTCGGACAAAAATACAACTTGTTAGGAATGCTAAAAATGCAAAAGAAGTAAAATACAACAAAGAAGATTTAGCTTATAATAAATGGAATGTCTAAACTAGATCTTCAAGAGGGTCCTCTTGCTCCAGTTCAGTGGTCAATGCACCATCGATCCCTGCCAATTAAAAGCCTTCCTTGATCATTTCAGGGTTGTTTCTCATATGGTCATACACCCCAATTACTTGAACCTCAACAGAATACACACTAATTCCACGGTTGATTTGTGCTTCGATATTCTTGGCATACCAATCCTCAAAATTAGATTTCAGGAACCTCTTTGCTAGGCCGTTGACTGTAAGAAACAATGGCCGAAAATGGTGTTTTTACAATTTTCTTTTTGAGCAAAGTAACTTTGTTATAGCGACAATTTGCATCAGGAGCCTTTCCCAATTTTCACTCAAAGTTACGAAAGTGAAATGTCTCTCCAAACTCTTAAAGGGGCCCCTTGCGGTCTCAAAAGACATCCTGGCTTAAGGTATAAAATTTGTTTCTTGTATAAAGCTTTTGTGTTAAGGTAAATATCAGTAATTGGTACAATATTATCCAACTTGGTTTAAAATAGAGTAATGCAAAATAATACAGAATTATAAAAAGTAAAGTTAAGTTAAACGATATCGAAAAGTTTTCTAAGCTTCACAGGCATGACTGCAAGGTTAAGGGTAATTTTTGTTGTGGGTAGTTGAGCTAGGCTGAAACAACATCCCTACATTTTCATAGCAGTTGGTCACAAAAGTGGCGTATACCCCAAACACCCTCACTGCTATGGAGTTTTTAAATAACCCCCAATCTGACAAAAGTGTTCACTAGCTTTTGAAGAGAGGTTAGCATACTCAGGCTATGTTCTCATTGCTCCGTATTCATTTAAATCCGTTTTCGTATCGATCCGTTTTACCTGCTCTCACTGCTCCGGATACATTTGAAAACGGTATGAAAACGATGAAGCGTTCACATTGCTCCGCTCTGGATAAAAAGGAAAACGCCACCAACTGGTTTACTGACCTTGCCAAGAACATTTTGAAGAACAATTTTTATTAGAACATTTTCCTTTTGCTTGCATTTTGTTCAATACTTAGTTTCCCAGGCGTGCAAATATATAAGCTCAAATGACATTATTGAGTTGCCGAATAACACAAAGGTCAAAAAACTTCAAAATCGAGGTAAAGCAACCTAAATTATGACCATGAGCCTTTGAATTCCACGTGCTTGAAAACTGCAAAACCGCCATTTTGATGACGTCATGCAAACTTTGAATAGCAATAACTCGTTGTCTGCAGGTCTGATAGAGTTTATTCTTTAGAACTTTTTGCTCCTATTACAATGCCAAACAAAATGGTTGGAGCGATTTTTCAAAAAAGAGAATTAAAAATTTTGATGACCGGGGAAAATGACGTCATCAATCATGTGATTTCTATTGTGTTACAAAAATGTATCCAAAGCTTAAAATATAAAGCAAGGCTTAAAGTAACCAAATCAAGAGCAAAAACTAAGGTTAGGCACTTTGCTCGATTGTTGTTAAAAATTCCCTGTCTATGGAAGCCTGCATCACATTACTGTTGTGATCGCACATGCAAGAAAATATTTCAAATGTCAAGGGGCTTTCTCACCTTCGACAATACTTATCAACCAATCTCAACTAATAAAATGGCTGAAATCAATAAATTTCCCGGCAAGCTTTAAGAGAATCTAATCTTTTACAGTAGTAGAGAACACTGACATTGAAATTTCGGTAACTGTTGTGTTGAGTTTGGATTATTGTTCGAATTTCTGTCATTGCTATGCATTTACTGAAAAATTTTGTCCTAAATAGTTAGAAGCCCTTAAAGCGTGCGAAATTGCACCATCCAAAATGTTTGGGATTAATGTAACAACTAAAAAATTTTATATAGCATTAATGCACATAGCAGGCGCAACTTTTAAAAGGTTTGATCACCCTCCCCTTGTACAAAGAATAACCAAAATCTTCAAATTTAGAGGCATTCATAATTCCCAAATGTTGGCAGCTGAAGTGAAGACTAGGAGCGAAAGAAACCATAATGTGGTGTTAAATGTTTTGGTGCCTTCCCATTGCACACTTTCATGATGAAGGGAACTCCTCCCCTTGTACCAAAAGCACCTCTTTCCCTTTTTGTGTGCCTACTATGAAGATGGCTCCAAATTCAAATCCTGATGTTAAATACAAAAAATCCTTGAATTATCCCCCTGGGGGCTTACTGAACTTTTGGACTTTTGCATGGAACTTTTTCAAAAGGGGCTATTCAACATATTTCTTGTAGTTGGTTTCTTGTATTCCAGTTAAAATCCTTATACCAATAAACTATTTTTTAGGAAAGGATGTTGTTAAAGGAGATATAATTTTTCGATATTTAGTGGTTATTAAATCAACAAAAAGTAGCATGTCCTTTAAAAATATCCCATTGTTTATGCATGTTCCACCAAAGAAATGGTTTATTGGTGATGAATAGAATATGACCAACCACAAGCTTTTTCTTTCGTAACTCTTTAAAGGAGACCAGCAAAGACCGGACAAGTTAGGGCAGATCGATCACGTCTCCCATGAAACTTAAGAAATTAAGCTGAAAATCTTGATACATGCACGAGTCTTCGTGTAACGAGCGCTCAAAAATGCGAATTCTGAACCGCCAGCGGCCATTTTATAAAAAGAACGGGGACGCCCGCGCTAATGTCTGCGGGCTGCTATTACGTCAGAGGTGAATATTGATTCAGCTCAGCCTCTTCCATGCGATCATCCAAGTGAGAATTTTATTACATCTGCTGGGATTTCGTGATTATGGCAAGCAACGAAGATGACAAAATATGGAATTATGGTACCGTTGATACTTCAACGCTAGAGATTCAGCCTTTTCAATTCGAGCCACTGCCGGGCGAAAGAAGAAGACAAGGAAGGCCTTCTAGTCCAAGCGGGCAAGATGACGATGTTGACGAAAGTGGTGACGCCACTGATACGAATGTGGAAAGAATTGGTAACATTAATTGGTAGGTATCATGATATTTTATGCTAGTTTTATGTAATAAAATATTCACTTGTTGTTGTGATTTACACCAGCCATGTTTCTGCTGTAATTGGTAGATTTTAAGCAGACTTGCTGGCTTGAAACATGTCTTACCCTTGCTTGGTAATTGATTCAAACCTGTTTATTGTAAAGGTGCAAATGCAATCATTGTTTGCCAATGCGGACTGGGAGAGAGAGTCTGTGCTGCATAGAGATCCCGAAAGTGAGTAGCAAGGCTATTGATGCAAACTGCCTGTGCATCACAGAGCTAGGTGGCTTCAATTCAGTTTGTCTGGACATAGATGTTGTGATAACAGCCATCTATCAGTATATTGAAGATGAGGAATACATTTATGATCAACCAACAAGCGAGTATGCTTCATTGCAAATTATTCATATTGCCTACAAATTAGCATCATAATCTTCTATATAATTAGTTTTGAATCTTTTTCAAATATAAGTATATACTTTATGTATATTCTGTAGAGGTTATGTCAGAAATAAAAATGCAGCTATTTAGGCAAATAGATTTCCTCCTCAGGAACCTTGTTTGGTTTTTTCACCTGCAGAATGGCAAATAATAGAGTTTTTTCCTAGGCTGTTCAGATACATAAGCTACAGACAATTTGTTAGATGGGTGTGGCATCATTTAGGGAAACATCAGAGGAGGATACTACCATCCTGTGTCGTCAACAACATTCGCTATGCCTTTCCTTCTGATGAATATACTGGTTTCAAATATCCTGAAATAGACTTGTAATTTTTTTTTAATAATTCTTATTGATGTATAGATATAAATTAATTTGGCATTTCATCCGCTTAATATCGACAGAAAATGTGTAAAAATATTAATCAGCTTTCCATTCTATTTTTTTCTTGGTCTCTTTGTTTCTTGTTTCTGTTTAGCAATTTCTTCTGTTCTCTTCTTGCGTCTCATCTGTTGGTTTCCTTCATAGCTGTCATCTTTTTCAGATATTCCCAGAACTGATTTATTGTCAGATACTTTCAAGAATCTGGTTTTATGTTGTTTCACAACTTCTTCCTTATCCTCTTTCTCAATATTATCTGTCAAATGCCCTGGTGTAGATACATAAAGTTGTGCAGCTTCCGTCAAAGATTCTGAATAACTGCTGAGTTCCAAGCGCCTCTTTACACTCATGTGCAGTAGTTCAGTGACATATCCTTAAAAAAATTTAAAGAATTATATTTACTTGAACCATGAAATCAATGCTGATAAATGGCTTTAGACCTCAACAATTTCACAAATATTGAGGACTTAACTAAGAAAGTTCTTACCATAGGTTGGCTTTGTCTTCACAGGTTTGGCTACAGCTCCTTTCTTATATTTGGGATAGGAAATCTTCCATCTCTCCTTACCCTGCTTTGTCATAGCTTGCTTTCTATTGGCATTCTCATTGAAATGTAAGGCTGCCAACAATAATCTTTATGGGGAAGAGAAGGTGAAGATTTGGGTTACAAAAAAACATGTGAAATGTGATTTTCTATTTGTTTTCTTATTGCATCAAAGGTTCTAATATAAACTGTTAATAGATTTAGCAAATACAAGGCTATATTGCAAGTAATAATTAAGTAGGAATATTATTGTTACAGTGCTACCTTGCTTTCATTGCCAAATATGAAAAATGTGTGCTTTTTGGTGGAAATTGTATGACAGCGTTGTGGAATGACTACAAGGCACTTGTCTGTTGCAGTGGTGACAGCTTCTTTATATCATTAACAAGTTGCTTTTTGCAAATGACAGCCTTTAGCTCTTTGTAACCCTTGCTTCCTAGAACAGAACAATGAAAATAAATTTTGATATTGCAGTAACCAAGAAGAACAGAAGAAGATACTTTGCCTTGCATTACAAGAATATGGTTGTAGGGCCTACTAATGATAACTCTATAAAGCTATGTGGAAAGTAGAGTGAATCTACTGGCTGTTAAGGTGCAGTCGGAAGTAAAGTAAAAATGTGCATACCAGCCTTCAACCATTCTCTTACAATCGGCCCATGTGGACAGCATTTTTATTTCTGGCCGTGCCCTTGATGGACATCAACCAAATGATTGAACAGTGACATCCACTTTTCTTCAACTAGCTGGCCATCTTCCATGCTAGATGATGCACACCAGTAAACATGGTTCTTGATGCTCTTTAACAAGTACAGAATATCCTCACAGTGCTTCTTTTTCCCTATCTTTTCAACTTTTTTCCCAATACCTTTAAGATTCAAGAGAAGAAAATATTATATGCTAAGACATGGCAATTTAATTTTTTGTATTTGAAATTTCTTTTGGCATTTCCCATCTTTTTCATTTAAGTTATAAAAGAATGTAGTGCGCATTCATTATTTCAAAGCTATAACTGATTTAAGAGAATAATAGAATAACACATACTTTTTGCAACATGAAAGACATCAAAGAAGTGATTTTTTGCCGGATGTTTTGTTCTCATGTATTTCTTTATTTGAACGTGGCGATCTGTTACAAGTGTACAAAAGGTAATGTTGTTGGATTGTAGCTGGTCAATGCATCTCATCAATCCTTCTAGCTCCATATATGAGGAGCCACTACATTCACTACTCTAAAAGAAAAATTAATGTTTTGATATAACCTTTTTTCCAAGAGATAAAATTGTAGAATTAACAGAAGTGAATGTTAAGAAGATTTCTGCTGGTTCTCATTTCTGGACATGAGAAAAGTTGACTACCATGAGGATTGGACTCGTAGCGCTTCCCTCTTTTCACCTCTAATATGCAAAAAAAAGAATACAGTAAGTCTTGCCGAGGGCCTTAAATTGAGAAGTAGTGCACAATCAATGAATTTTCTAGGAATCTTAATTCCTATTAGATCAAAAGCAGCAAAATGCAACATAAAAAACACTGGAACAATAAAAAGAGGTCTTAAACGAACTAAGTTTTTTCTTTCTTTTCTAGAGGTTCATTCGGTTCCTGAAAAGCTTCTTTTGTATTTCGTGTAGGCCCGTCAACTCGACTTCCGTCCTCCCCAAGTGGCCGACCGCGTTTCTTGCATCGCGCAACATTTTTGTTCTCGATAAGCTTTTGCTGTACCAAGACGTTGATCAAATTATCTTGTGACCATGGCCACCTCGGATCAATTGTAGATGAGTCCGTTCTCCTAAGTTTTGGTAGTTCGTTGTCCATTGCTTAAACTCTTATCAAAATTATTATGTAGCAGACTAATTGAACTGAATTAGGTTTTGGAACGCTATTCACCCCTTAACTACTTTTTGTGCCGACAAGTACCACTGTACAATCTCGTTTTTATGTTTAACGTTTATTTTCAATATGGAACCACTTCAAACCGAAATTACGTTTGAAAACATACAAAACTGAAAACTAAAATCCTCAACCAACGTTTATCGTTAATGTTTTCGCCGCTGCAGTTTTTGGGGCACTAGAGACTTTTTTTGTTTAGATTTGCAATTTAGATTTAATCGCAGAAATAACACATTTTTGGTACCGATTTCATCTGATCGTGCAGAATCTTCAGCCACTCCAACTGTTTTCTTTCAAACTCGATAAAAGTTTAAATCATAAAAATTAAGGTTCAAATCTAAGGTTCAAATATGTTTTAAAATACGGTCCTATATGTATGTTTTAAAATACTCTCAGCCGCTTTTTAATGCTTCCGAAATCATGCTTTTGGAATAGGACCGTATTTGTATCATTAGATTTTACATTTTGATATCACATTTGTTGTTCTGTATGTTTTTGTTGAAATTTATGATGAAGCAACATATCTTAAAAGATTTAATATTTTTCTTTGATCTTAAGGCGAATTTACACTTTGTGTTGGGCAAAAATAATTTAAGAATAATCTTAGGCTCAAAACCTGAATTTTTTAAGAATATTGAGGCTCGGCAAAAAATAGGTATTCTTATTCTTATTAGCTTGTACATTATTTCTACATTATTACCTTGCTCAGTGTGTCCACAAGATCACCGATGTCTTTGCATAGCCTTGGGGAGACGAGGAAGAGAAAGTTTTTTAAGGAGTGAGGCAACCCTCTATCCTGGATTCAAAGCGCATGCGCTCATTTTGTACAACACACTTTCAATATACACACCAACATTTCACAAGATTAAGGTATCAAAGCTTCTTTCAGTGCCATGAAAAATCGTTATGGGGAAACTACCCTGCTGCATATAAAATACAACAGCTGGTGATTTTTATTCTCAAACATAATTATATTTTCTTTACACTCTCTTTTTATAAGAACAATTTTACAAGAAAACGAGCTTCAAAATTGGTGGAAAGTTTAGAACAAATTTAGAACAAGTTGATGCTGAGCTACTGTAAAATTTAACCTTGAACAATGTTTCATCTCAAAAGCAAGGAGTTTTTTGCCAACTTGGGATGCTTCTTCGGTGAATATTCAATCATTGCGGCAAATGAAGGTTTTCTAACGCACTTTGTTGGCAAATGAGGCCTGGACAACTCCCTAGAGCGAAAAGCTAGCAATCGCACTGCTTATACCTTATACGTTTATTAACAAATTAAGAACAATTTCAGTCAGCTTCAGATTTTGGAAAAAATTAAGACAACCAGCCTAAACTTCATTTAACTGGCTCTTATAAAGAAGAGTGTAATGGTAAATTTTATCAACCTCCCTTAAGTCATCAATATTAACCGAGGGTGTGACCATAGAAATGGGTGTAACAGTTAAGGTAAAAGGAAATCAGAATCAATTTAAGAAATCTATTCCGTCCAGCCCAAGATCACGCTGGCAATTTCTACTTCGTGTCACTGGTAGTCTGTATTATTTAACTTTTGGAGTAGACATATTACAAGCAAAACCTACTTTCTTGTTACAGTTAGGTAAGAAGATCTGTTGGTAGAAAATACTTTACACCAGCATCCGTGGTTTCATTTTCGGAGTAAATTGTGACTTTCCACCTTCAGGACTCTGCAAGTTGTTTGGAATAGTTGGCATTCACATATTTTGTGGTTGGCAGCCAAATGCAGCCAGCTTGACGCAGTATACAAAAAGCTAAATTTTTGCTAATTATTGGGATTGATACCGTAATCAAAATTTGCTTTGTAGGTTACAAAAGTTTTCACTTACCTTCATCTCAAACTGTCTGTTATCGTTCAATTTGTTGCATCATTCAGCATTTTTAATTTTGAAATTATTTTAAAAATCTTTGAACATTATCTCTTTCTTGAGCAGGGTTGCCTTGATTTGAAATCTTGCATAATTTTTTCAAATCTAGCACAATCTTATGAACAATCTGTCATAATTCCAAAATTGAGATCTGGTGCGTGGTGCATTACAAACAAGATGGGGGTAAAGATCATGCTTCCAAATTGCGCGAAAAGAGAATAAGAAGAAACAATCACAATTTGTACATCAGTGGGAGAAGAATTTATTTGCCATCTGTAACGAGGTTCTCCTTTATAGGGTCTTTGGGGGTATCAAATACCGTGTTTCCTCAAGAAAATTTCCCTATTACCATAATTACGCAAGAATATTTTAATATTATCGAAGTACCGAGTTTTCAAACTGAAAATTATCAAAAAGATTGCAGTTTGAATTTGTCTACAAATCTCAATTAGGTGTCCAGTATTTTCTGGGAAAATCGTCAGATTTAAGCACGTAATATATTCCCATTCATCAGCGGAAAGTTTAAAATATGATGTTGTGTCATCAAACTTTCTAATATAGATTCTGAAAATTTCATGATATTTAGCTCAATTTCCACTCTGACAATTTACCCTTTCACTTTCAGAATCTTCTTGATGGATACAACTATTTTTTCCCTTAGTGCTTTGAAGCTTAGTAGTTTTTTTCGGTTGTGAAACTGTTTAGTGTATGAAATTTCACTAAATTTGTTTATAATAGCATATTTTCTTACTATATGTGGAATCCCACTTTGTCTATGAAGCCCAGGGGTGTAATGTCAGGGGAAGGAGATCTATAGGAACCTGAGACATGAGCTAACGAAAGATCAAATAATCCTTCAAAAATTATAGTAATCCTCGACGGCTAATTATTTTTTGATCTCCCATCTTATCTTTGCACATATACTCAAATAACCCCGTACAAAAAGTTGATTTTTGACTCCGCCCCCGGCCTATTCAAGCATAATTTTTAATGGAAATTAATTCCATCGCGACGGGCCCTTAGTTATGATAAAGAACACCCTAATCTCAGGAAAAACATGTTGGGCTTTTGGTGCATCAGCCCTTGTCTTGCCTGAGCAATGACGCAATTTTATGGTCGGTGTTTGATTCCAGGGAAAAAACTGCCTCAGTCTTTTACCTCGATAATCAGACTGAAACACACCTGTCATACAATCGAATGACTGTGTGAGAAGAAGTGAGACAGGAGAAGGCAGAATGAAGTATGTAACGGGATATAAGCAGGAGGAGAATTGAGTACAAAGGGACAGAGATGGGAAGGGAAAACGCGTACAAACATCGCATGAGTCTTAAATTTAACCTGGGGCGAACCCTGTTTTGTCCACACTTGATTTTCATGTTTTGTAATGTGGACACAAAGTCGGGGCGAACCCAGGTTAGCTGACGCTACGCATGCGTAGTTAAATTACAACAACAACAACAAAACAACAACACAAAGCAAATTTTCCATAAACACAATCAAGATGGAAGTTGCCAAAGTCGCAGTTTACTCAAATGTTTTCCTCCCTCTTCCTGACAAGTTGTCTTTAACTTTCTTATAAGACTGTTTTAGTTGTTTTTTTCACTTATCTGGATGTAGTTTCGCTCGTAGCCACTTTCTTTTTCTAGGCGCTGTGCCATCTTTTCGTAAACATGTTTTTTCCTTGTACAGTTATCCAACAGTTTTTGAATCTTTTCGTCTCTCCAGATACTTATGAAGCTGAGAACTTCTTTGCGATCCATAGTGATCCACGATCTTTTTTGCAAGTTTCTATATCTTGCCTGGTGTTTGCATGTAACGTATTTTTATTTTTCGGCGCGCAAAATGAAAACATATTCAAATATGCACATGCGTTAAAAAAACTAACCCAGGTTCGCCCCAGGTTTTGTGTCCACACTAGAAATTGAGAACACTAACCTGGGTTCGACCTAGGTCGAACCCACCTCTGGAGATGGGTTAAACTAACCCAGGGCGAACCCAGGTTAGTTGTGTCCACACTGCAAAATCTAACCTGGGTTAGCTAAAACCTGGGGCGAACCTGGGCTAGTTTGTGTAGTGTGGACAGGGCTTATGATATCCACAGCCTACTAAGGATATACGTGTGGGATCACCCTACTAGAAAAGGGGCATACCGGAAAACAAGGATCCAGGACCTTAAGGCAGGACCCAGGACAAGGACCAAGGACAAGGACCGAGGACCAGGACCCAGTACCAGGACCCAGGACCAGGACCCAGTACCAGGACCCAGGACCAGGACCTAGGACCCAGTACCAGGACCCAGGACCCAGGACCAGGACCCAGGACCAGGACCCAGGAACGTTTATGTTTTCGACGATGCACTCGCAGTTTTCTTTATAAGAATACCAAGTTATAACATTGCATACCATGAACAATTGTCCATAAAATCCAAAACTGCACATCGAACAAAAGACTGCACATCATTTTAGGGGGGAAAAGAATCTGATTTTATTTCTGACTTTGTGTGAAAAACGAAAACTCGGGTAACTCAGGAATATGTAAATGTACGATTAAACGAAAGCAACGCCTTGAAATGTGAAATACTCTTATTGGCCATGCAAACCTGACGTGGTTGTTTTAGCATAGATGGCTATAGCTATTTTTTAGTAGGATCGGGGTATATTTTATGCACACTGCAAACCTTATATCTTTAGTAAGCCTACATCATTAAAAAACCACCAAAGCGTAAGTAGTCTCAAAATGTTTAAATAGCAAGACATTAGAAGGTTTCTATGCTCTAGAAGCAGGAATGGCTGCACTCCCTTTGGTATGTTTTTCATGAACCGCGGAGCATATTAAAGAGTGAGGGGGCTAAAACGTTTTTTTGGGGTGAGGCGCTAAGAATGCTCATAATCAAGAACAAGGCGATTTTGTATGGTTTTAGGAACAGCCCCCTTCCGCGGTGCCAGTATGTTTATCATTTCAGATTGAACTATTGTGTCAAAAGTCCTGATCTGGATTTGAAAAAGGTTTACTATTCCATAAAATGTTTCTACGTTCCTGAAAAATACCACTACATCTTTCTGAAAGCGGTCTCCTTTTAAAATAAAAAGAAACTAATGCATCTGAAAAAGAGCAGAAAGGAAATTTCTTTGGAATCTTATCGTGACACCCATAAAGCGGTGTCCCGAGACAGTTCGTCTAATTTGAATCTTCTATTGAACATTTGCAGTACATATTGACTTGGCAAGGTTTCTGATGACCCAGACAGCCAATGTGTGCCAAGAAAGGAGTGCCATTTTTCAAGTGACAGAAGAGGAGACCTAGGACTCATAACCCAGGACTCAGAACCTAAGGCATGCCTAGGAACTAAAATGACCAAACAACCTGCATCGTGCAAAAAATATTCTTGAAAATTTTGAAAAGATTTAAAAATTTTCTAACCCTAGAAAAAGTGGAAAGGTAAAAAAATTGATATTGAGGAGCCATGCAAACGAAAACAACTGAAACGTTCATTTTGTATACAATATTGAGAAAGCTTTATGGCCCCCGTCTCCCTTTTTTTTAGCTCTACACTACTGCTTGCAACGTTTACTCACACTCAAAATACTCTTATTAGCCGTGCGAATCTGACGTGGTTGTTTCAGCATAGTTAGCTAGCACAGCAATAAGTATTCTAAAGTAGGATGGGGGTATCTTTGATGCACACAGCAAACCTTATATCTTTAGTAAGCCCTCATAATTAACAAGCCATCAAAGCGTAAATAGTCTTTATTTATTTAAAAAGTGTTTAGACATTAAAGATGTAAAAGACAGAAATGGTTTGACAGCAAAACGTTTCTGTGCTTTCTGTGCTCTAGAAGTAGGGATGGCTTCTTTTTTGTATGCTTGTAATTGCCGGCTGTAACATGCATCAAAAGTCATGATCTTGATTTAAAATTTTGTATTCCGGAAAGCGTTTCTGCTCTGAAAGAGAAAAGTGGCGAGAATCCACCTAATTTCACTTTTGAGCACTTATAGCAGCAATGACTTGGCAAAGTTTCTGATCACCTAGACAGCAAATGAGTGTCATTAGAGGTACACGCATGATCTGTCACGCGACAAACATGATTTGTCGATATGCGCAGTGCCAATTGTAGACAAGCAAAATCACTTGTCAGGATCACAGAATAGAGATCGCGGTTGAATTCTGTGTCGCGATCAACGGTTCTAATGTCTTGCTATTTAAACATATTAAGACTACTTATGCTTTGGTGGCTTTTTGATGATGTGGGCTTACTAAAGTTTGCAGTGTGCATCAAATATACCCCGATTCTACTAAATAATAGCAATTGCTGTGCTAGTCATCTATGCTCAAACAACCACGTCAGGTTTGCATGGCTAATAACAGTGCCGTTGGAATGAAATTCTAATTGGGGGGGGGGCTGTCCATTGTTTTCCTTCTCATTTAGTACACTGTTATGAAGGAAACATACTACAGTTTGACAATTATTGGGGGGCTCCAGCCGCCCAGCCCCCCCCCCCCCCGGTTCCGACGGGCCTGAATAAGAGTATTTCACATTTCAAGGCGTTGCTTTCGTTTAATCGTACATTTACATATTCCCGAGTTACCCGAGTTTTCGTTTTTCACACAAAGTCGGAATAAAATCAGATTCATTTCCCCCTTACAATGATGTGCAGTCTTTTGTTCGATGTGTAAAACTTCTGGATTTTATGGACAATTGTTCATGGTATGCAATGTTATAACTTGGTAATCTAATGAAGGAAACAGCGAGTGCATCGTCGAAAACATATACGGTCCTGGGTCCTGGTCCTGGGTCCTGGGTCCTGGGTCCTGGGTCCTGGTCCTCGGTCCTGGTCCTCGTTCCTGGTCCTTGGTCCTTGGTCCTGGTCCTCGGTCCTGCCTTAATGTCCTGGGTCCTTGTTTTCCGTTATGCCAGAAAAGGGGAATCTGCGTACTTTCCCCGCGGGTATTAACTCGAATTAAAGATTAATTCCCATTATGATTCTTAAAGTGGTAACCGAATTCCATGCTTAGATCAAAACATATATCTAAATCAGATCAATTGAAAACAATTAAAGATCAATGGAAATAGAGGCCTTTAAAGTTGATTTAGCTTTATGCCGAAAATCGAAAATACTTTTATCTTCTACTGTGCTTTAATCGTTTATACAAATTATTAGTATGAGAAATCCAAGAAAAGATCCATGTGGAACACCATGTGGAACACCAAAACCTAATTCTTCCATTCGTGACATCACACAATTTTTCAAAGCAAACCTTGGACTCCAGAGACTATAGAAGGAACTGAAACAGCCAAGATTTCTTTCCACTTTTAAACTAGAAATAGGTTTTCTAGTTCTTTCTTTAGGCAGTTGAACATCTTTAACGCCCAATCAAAAAGTGCTGTTGTGCTATGCTGATGGATTTATATAGAACAGAAGCAGATATCAGTAGCCTGCGCCCCATTCCACAAATGGGGCAGAGGCTAGATATCAGCAGCACCACCGTGAAGAAATAGTTAGTAAAAAGTTTTAAGTTGGGCATTCCTTCATATACACGAGGAAGAAACCACAAACAAAAATCCGAGGAAATAAAAAACAACTTGGACAGAGATCCGAACAAACCATGTAAAAGGGTTTCCTTTCGATAACTTTTTTCTCACAAGTTACGTCATCGCTATATGTTGCTAATTTTCTTATAAACCCAATAAATATATTGTAAAGAATCAGCTTTTGCTACTTATGATTTATTTATTGAAGAATTTGCCCAATTAGGACATGCTACTTGCACAATGAAGGCAATTTCTATTTTTGCCAGCCACAAGGTGCCAATCCCAGCAAAGTACCACGCCGAATTTTTATAAAAAATGTTCAAATTTCTTATCAAAAATCTGTAAAAATTTCTTATTTTAGCCCCTGTTGATACATTAACAATGGTGATAGGGATCAAAGCCACAAAAAGGAAAACACAAAAAATTGATTAATCAGTTCTTTTCATTTTTGGCCCCCAAGTGACTCAATAATTTTATTTAAATGATTTTTTACTTCTTCCCTCTTTTGAGGGCAGACAGTCCTACCATTCCTTAGCTGCAGTTCATGGTCTGCCTTTCCACAAAAACTGCATCTCGTCATGGCTGCTGCTGGTACCTGTAGGAATTATTTTAAATATCAATCATAATGACAACAATAATCAAAATTCTGAAAACTCTGATAAGCATTTACAATATTATGACCAACTAGAGTTTTTGTAACCAACTATAAAGAAAACCCTCTCTAACTCAGATTGGCAGGGGCTATGCCTCTTCCCCTAGTGCTACCCTCTTGTTTCCCTAATGCTCCCTACATGGTGCTACCACGTTTTTCCTTCCTCTTATGAAAGACGGAATCCTAGTTGTCCATTAACCCCCCCTCGTCTCCAATGGCTGCCACTGCTCATGCGTATACATGGGGTATTAGTCAAATAATTCTGTTATCTCAATTCCCCAACCTTGAATTTCGTTGCACTGCACCTGTAAATAGTGTTCTAAGTGTTCTGAGAGTATATATTGGAGCCTCTTAATGCTTTAGCGCCAAGGGCATAGGAAGCATCTCAAAAGTTAGAGGGCCAGATCAAAAGGAGGCAAATGACCACACCCATAGGTGGCCAAAATTCCAAAAGGTTCCGGGCACTTTTAGATTTGGAAATGCATTTTGGCACTGTGTACCAAAACGTGGAGGGGCATGTGATCATTTGTTGCCTCCATATTATACTGCAGCTAAAATCTTAAAAGTTTCAACATTGACACCTAACAATTTGTTTTTAATGATCTTTGGAAATAGCTTTTTGAATACATTGAATTTTCAAACGAAGATTCATTAGGCAATCATCTGTTTGTGTACATTAAGCTATGCATAGAGGAAGGCATTACCCCAAAAGTAAAAGAGATATATATAAACGTGACATCTAGACATATAGACATGTATAACTAAACTTTTGTTTCACAAAAAGCAGTAGTGTTATAAAGAAAAATGTTTTAGAAAAAAAATGAAAAAATAGCACTTTTGCATAGAATGATATCTTAGTTTTGTGCTTTATCTCTACAGGCCTGTTTCGTGAATAACTCACTCTTCAGGAGATTTTTGAGGTCCTGCAGGGGTTTATCATTCCAGAGGAAGCAGTGTTTTCTCACTAATTCCTGTCATCAGGAATTAGAATTAGCATGTATCAGCTTCTAATGATATCAGCCAAGAGCATAGGCAATATGGGGGCACAGATGGCGCTTGTGCCCAAATTTTCACAGGCTTGGCAGCTACAGTGTTGCCACTTTTTACTTGTGAGTATGCCCCCTGAATTTATGTACCCCTTCCTCTAGAATGTTTCCTACGTCCCTTGTGTCATCTTTATCTCAGATTAGCCGCAAGCACAATGGCATATTTCTCTTGAACTTTTGAGATCTCTTCAAAAAGTCCACACTCAATGGCGTAACAGAGAAGTGTGGGGCTCTTAATGAAAGTAGTATTTTGGGTACACTAAATTTGAGTCAAGTTTTAGAGTCATAACTTGACTCATAGAGTTTTAGAGTCATGCTATTAAAAAACATATGCTGTCATCCAAGAGCCCACCTTTTCGAGAAATTTCTTGGGGCCCCTTAGGGACAATTGTATTTGGGGGCCCATAGTTTTGTGCCACTGCCCACATTCTGCAGTTCCAGGGGCAGATCCATGGGGGTGCTAGAGGGGCGATCTACTCTTGCAAATAGCGTACAGGATTGTGCCTAAAACTGAAGGATTTCTGGGGATTTTCGGGTAAAGCAATAGGGTTTTCAAAAAAGGTGTACGAGATTCCCAATTTCATTCGTTTATCCCTAGATAAGATGTTCTATGGGTGCTCCCGCCAAATCTTATCGCCCAGGGATAGCAAATGTGATTGGTTCATTCTTTAAGATCAGAGAATGTGATTGGCTTTCTCTCTCTATGAGTGCTCGAGGTTTATCCCATTAGCTTTCTAGTGGTGTTACGAGCTGCGAGAGGACTACAAGTCACCGACACCGACTTCACTGAAGTAACGCCAAACTGGAGGTAGAACAGATAAGGAAAATGAAATCTAATCAGAAGGTTAATGTCAAATCGCATAGGTATGTACAGTTATCTCTTTGTCTATTCTTTATATAATAGACAATCTCCGATTTAGAAATCCCCGTTTCGATTCGAATTATTGATTGAATGCACCCTGCGTCTGTTGTGATTCCTGTTTCCTATGTATAAAACGTCCTTCCATGATTGAGATAGTACACAATTGTCTTATTCTACATGCAGAGAAGGCAGAGCCGGAAGTAGACTCAGACTATGTCTCAGGTCGTAGAAGATGAACTGACACAAACTTGTCTAATTTTAATTGAACAGTAACCCATAGCTTATCTACATATTTACAAGAACTATTTTAGTTATTACGAATTACGTGAAACGAAAGATTATTAGGTTTGTTGACATATGTGAATAGCGTAGAAGTGGAGAAATGGATATTTTTATGAGAATAAAGTCGAATATTAAGGCTCAAAATTGCTAATATTTCAGAAGAATTTAAGAATAACGCCAGGCTCAACTTTCATCAAGACTAACAATTTTACGAAAATGGATGTTTCATGATCGTATTTGTATCATTAGATTTTCCTTTTAAATATCACATTTGTTGTTCTGTTTGTTCTTGTTGAAATTTACAATGAAGCAACACATCACAAAAGATTTAAAATTTTTCTTTGATCTTAAGGCGAATTTACTTACAGCTTTTATTTGCAAGAATAACTTAAGGATTAACTTAGGCTTAAAATCGAAATTTTTTAAGAGTATCGGGGCTCGGCAAAAAATTAGGTATTCATATAGGTGTGTATATTTAAACAATATTAGAGGAATTACCTGTTATGTTGACAGGGAGTGACATGGTGATGCCCTCTGCCAAGGTGTAACAGGGGCATTTTTAGAGGAATACGAGCGTTTCTCATCTCCCTTTTTGGCTGCAAGGCCTTGCCTGAAAGGGGCCTGGTCATCAAATTTTCCAGGACCCATAAAATTTTTCGCTAGATCCGCCTCTGCCGGTATAGTTGGATTTTTATCTTTCTAAAACTAGTGGCGAAGGATTTTGGAGTTGGGGTGCAGCAACAGAAATGTACTGACGAGCTGCTAAATCTTCCAGGATTACCAGTAAGTATTAATCTCAACCTCACCTTTCCCCGGCAAGCCAAAAGAGCCCTACAACCCTACTTTGATACACCCCTGTCTACTGTGGAAGCTCTCTCTTAACTAAGAGATATCTCAGAAGTAATGTGTTCGCTCCAGTTCACTTCGCTCTGTTGTCATGTTTCTAATGTTTGCTGCGCAATTCGCTTGCAGTCAAGAACCGAGATATAGGGGGCCGGTGGGACTCGGCCCCCAACAAATTTTCAGTAGTTGCTCTATTTTTGGTAGACTTATTACAGATGACAATATAGACTTGAGGCAACTCTAATTTGTGGTTAGAAACAAAAATCTGCTTTGCTTTAAGCCAATCTGAAGGGTTGTGGGAAAAATTTTCTCCCGCGGTGTACCCCTGGACCCCCGTAAAATACTCCAGTTCGCTTTACTTTCCTACCAATTTGCCGCCCTAAGCAAAAAGATGTATCTCGGTCCTTGCTCGTAGTGTGACCTCAGATTTCTCGTTACCTTTCGTAATTCTCTCTCCGCATGGAATCCCGCTATTACTCTCGCCAGGCCAAAGTAATCTTTGAAGAACTGGAAACATCTTTCTGTGCTACTTTCCATGATTGACTACTTAAAAGTATATTTATTAAAACAAATGCCTTTGGGCTTTTGACTATGCAAATGTGGGCTTTTGACTAAAATGAGCATGCGCAAAACCGGACAGGGACCGGGTGCAAGGGTAGCCTGGGCTAGGTAGAGCATTTTTAATCAAGGACTTAGATATAGGGGGGCCGGGGGAGGGCCCTGGCCCTCCCAAAAAATTCAGTACCATAAGTAAAATACTTTTGTATTACTATTTAGTACTTTGAGAAATAGTTAAGATTTAAGTTCATTTTTCACCTCTATACAAGCTTGACCCTATCTAAGCAGGTCCTCCTTTAGTGTACCTGCGTCTCTGACACTTTAAACTCTGCAGGATGATTGTCAACACGTATTACTTGGCCCTGCATGAACTAGAGTTTTCTTGCTGTTGCTATTTACCGTATTTTGGCAGGAAATCACTTCCCTTTCCAAGTTTTTGCCTAAATGTCCACCACATCAAAGTTAGGGAAAAGAACTTTGAACTATTTTTTCGAAAAGCAGCGAGAAAGAACTGCTTTTCCAGCAAGTTATCAAATAATCAAGATAACAATGGACTGAACGCTTTCCATCGTAGTGGGGTAAAAATTCCAAAGTAGTTAAAGGACCTATTCTACTCCTTTGGTGTGTGTGAAACGTCGAATCAATAGATGGAAGAAGGTATTCATTTGAAATTTGTTTCAGTCAATATACCAAAGCCTACACAAACATGTATTGAATGTTCTTGCAAAATTATTTTTAGCATTTCAACTAGTGGCGTAACGGACTAAAGTTACCTTTAGTTCAAAAACTAAGGGACAACATTTAGGGGCCCCAAAGAGGCCTCAAGTAAAAGTTTCTTCGCTGAATCTTGGAGTTCCTTGAATTTTGAATCTTCAAGAGCTTTAAGATTTTAAAAGCTTTGTGATATTTTTCAAATCTAACTACTATATTTGGTAGTGAATTAATTAATAAGCTAAATCCCTATTGCTTTCATGATTTCTTTCTGTTAAACTCAGATGTTCATGAATACTTTACTACATAGTCTAATCATGGTGATGTATTCTGCGATGACAAAAATGGTTTTCGATATATTTTCGAAGTCCATTCGGTATATGGGGGCAGAAAGACTGAACGAACTCCCAGAAATACTTGAAAACTCTGCTTCTAAATTTTCTTTCAAAAAGAAAACTCAGAAAATTAATTCAACACTTTATGTAAATTTGAATTATTTTGAACCAGGTACTTTTGAAATTGAGGAATAAAATTGAGGAATAAAATTGAGGAATAAAATTGAGGAATAAAATTGAGGATTAAAATTGAGGAATAAAATTGAGGAATAAAATTGAGGAATAAAATTGAGGAGTAAAATTGAGGAGTAAAATTGAGGAGTAAAATTGAGGAGTAAAATTGAGGAATAAAATTGAGGGGTACTGCAGGGAATGCTCTTCTCAATTTATTTTCTGAACTAGAAGGAGAGTTCCTCCTTAAGAATTCCCCTTAATACAAAGTATTTCTTTGATCTTTGAGTAAGTAATCTTTAGTTAGTTATTTGTTGTTGAACATTGTATATAGTGGAATTTGAATTGAATTGATTCATTGATCGATGAACGTTTTTCAAACTAGATTTAGTTTTCTCTCCCTAAAAGCCTAACTATTGACAGAATCAATACTAAGTATCATTCGGTGCACAAAAATGTGGAGATTCAAACCATATCAAAGTTATTGGCAAATGTTGTAAAATGGCATTTTCTAGGCAAATTTGTTTCTAATAGAGAATACCGCCTTCAAAGACTATTTTGATCCCTTAGAGCGCTTGAGGTCTCTGACGGAATCTGACGTACATGTGTCTTAGATTTTTGAAATTCCTCCTCTTCTTGAATCAACACGTTGTCCAAAATTGGCAAATAATTTGTAAGCCCTCCCACAGTTGTATTTGGTTATGAAAGATGGACCAGAGGACATGGAAAGATTTTGAGATACGCTTTGCTAGCGCTACGTCTGCCCTGGCAAAGGGCAAATTTTCGAATTATTCGATTGGCTCAAAGGGTGCAAAATATCTTTTTTATGCCTGTACCTAGTGGATTTCTGAATCCTGAGTAGATGGGATTTTACCAAAGACAACATACACATCATGATCATGTAAACCACAACTATATCCGGTCAAGCAATAACATGAGGATACATTATATGAGCGCGGGATGCTATCAGCGCAAACCACCACACAAGGGCTCAAGCAACGATAATCAACTTAACGGGTCAAGCAATTATACAAACTTTGACAGAGACGGCGCCACGAAATTGAACCTGGGAGGGCTAAGAATAAAGTTTAGTGACATAGGAGGACCCACCATGGTTGGGCCACACGCCAATGAAAATTTTTTAAATTAATTCTTCTAGAATGGCTAAAGATGCATCTCCAGGGCTAAAATTTAACAAAATAAATACCATACCGCTCCAAATAGACAGTTCAACAATTCTCATTGGTTATTGATTTTTAGAAAAAAATTGAGAGAGGAGGACTCAGGCAAGTAAATACTGGGGGGGTGTCGGGGGGTGTGACACCCCCCAATCTTTCATCCACTCGGAAAATTTGAGGACAGTCGGAAAATTTAAAGCTGCTGGTGGAAAGCTAGGTTAATCAGAGAAAATTTGAATCATTTGTGAAAATTGAAGTTTTGACTCAAATTACCTTGTGAACTGTAGCTCAAATAGACAGGGACATAGAGCTTGACAATCTGACATTCAAGCTAATGTTTACTTTCTCAACGGATTCTTGTAGTTGGGAGCCCAGGCTTTCATAATCTGCCAGGTGACTTTTTTGAAAATGTCTGGATGTCACAGGACTGATGACATCAGTTAGCGGTAAAAAACAGACAAAATCATTGCTAGCTCTTTACTGGATTGTTATTTTTTGACGCAAATTAGATACTTTGACTCGTTTCATTGCAAGCTTTTAATTGATGCATATTTAAGAATGATTTTCCGCCATTAGTGTTTGTATTATGACGTCATCAAAAAATTTGCATGACGTCATCAAAGATCTTATTGTCATTAAATTATAAGTTGGCATAACTTCGTTTTATTATGGCGCTGGATGTCAGCAAAAGCATTTCTTTCTTAATTTTTTTCACAGTTGTAAACAATTTTTCTAACAACAGATTTGCAACTTCAAATCTGTGAATGGTAAATCCGAGGCTTTCCGGATACTTTCGTGAGGGGATTGGATTTAGAATATACACTTGCAGCCAAATTCAAGGCCAATGATCATATTGGTTTTCCAACAACTAAATGTGATTTCGCAAAAAGGTTTCAAAATTTATGATGCCTTGTTCAAAAAACCTTTTAGCAAGTCTCTTCAAGACTGTCCAAAATGTTGGTCTTTGTTACTTTTTAAAAAATTGATTTTTCTCAGATATTAAATTTTAACTATTGCCATTATTTTGGCCTTGTTGGTTTCAAACTATAGACTAATGGCTTCACAAAAGTGGTTTCAATTTCATTGACTGTGATGCTCAGGAAGGAGGTGCAAAAAGGGCCTAGACATCTCGTACGGTAGTTTAGAGGACGGAAAAGGCAAACATAAAGCCTAGTTTTGTTTAGAAAATACAATATTCCCAGGTGATGGCTGGGTGATTTATTTGCGGAAAAACCTGGTAACTTAAATCTTAAAATATTTGCTTGTTTAATTAACGAAAACTTCTTAGGAAGTAAATTAGGGGGGGGGGGCATTTTTGGTGGTAGGGTCGAGGTGGGAAATAGGTGATGTCTTGTTGCAGATATCTTACCAACCGTTTGGGTTCCTGCTTAGGGCTCCTAGATGGCCCCTGTAAAAATCTTCGGTTCACTTTGCTCACCTACCAGTTTGCACCAACCAGTTTGCACCAACCATCCCCCCCCTTAAGCAACAAGTTGTATCTCGGTCCTTGCTCGTAGTGTGATCTCAGATGTCTTGTTACCTTTTGTGATGTGTTTTCCACATGGAAGCCTGCTACTTATCTCGCCAGGCCAAAGTAGTCTTTGAACATTTCGAAAAATCTCTCCTTGCTGCTATCCATAATTGATTAGGAAAGTATACATGTGGGCTATTCGGTATATTGAGGCAAAAACATGCAATGAACTCCCAGAAATAATTAAAAACTCTACTTCTAAATCTATGTGTTTCAAGTGTTACAGTGTAATGGCGGACATCCAGGGCCTAGCTGTGGGATATACAATGCGCACATGCAACATTAACAATAAAAACCAAATCAAAGTTATATTTATTATCGAATAACATTGCGAAAGCATGTTAACCAACATGAAATAATTGTGAGAACCTGATCTAGGTCAAACTTTTCAATGCAAGAAGCATTTTCGGATTTTTATCATTTTTTGTAGTTTGCCTTTGGCCTATGCATAAACGCATAGACAATTTCAGCGTTATGCGTTTCTGCATGGGGCATTTAAAATCGAAACACCATCGAATATCATCGCGAAAGCATGTTAACTAACAAAAAATTTATTGTGAGAACCTAATCTGAGACAGTAGACTGCAGTTTTTTATCACTTGAACTATCATCTATGATCAAACGATTTGACATTTTTCTTAATCGAAACTCATTGGACCCTCAACTGTAATTTGCAAGAGTTTTTTGCTTCTGTTCAGAGTTGCTTCCATATATGCAAAGAGTGATAAAATCAAAATTTAATTGTACATAACATCTTCAAAACTTCTTGTTAAAACATTGCTTAGACTGCATGAACAATGCATTTGGCAACTTGTGTGCATAACGCTTCAGAAAAGTAATTATGACAACGTGGAAATCAGAGGGAGTTGAACCTTTTTTACAAATATTCTAATTTGGAAAAGAGTGGAAAACTTAAGCACTTGAGATCAAATAACATCACCTTTATTATTTTGTGGTGAAACTCCATCACTGCTTTCAGTGTCTTCCGAGTCTGACGATAAATCTTCTGAAGATAAATAGTTGTATGTTGGATCATCGCTACTATCAGAATCCTCAGGAATCCACGGATCTTCCTTTGATGTAAGATTTGAATCCATAAGTTGCAAAAAGACACAATTTGAAATTTCGATATTTCTTGTCAACTGAAGCTATCTGTTACCCAAAAATGAGCATCATTTTAAAGCTACTACTTTTCATCAAATTCATAAATAAAGGAAGTACATAATGCTAAATTTTGTTACTTACATTCAGATTACACTCCTCGCCTTCTCCTTCATCACCAGTACTGTCAATTTCCGGGAAGTCTCCATGCAGTCCTGAATCATCTTTTACGTCCATCTAAAATCAAAACAGATCAACCAATATAATCTATACATAGAAAAGAGAAGATCGTGTGAAAGATGATTAATTCATGAGTTGCTTATAGATTCGATTCCAAGCAAAGCAGCTCATGCAAACTCTGCATATTGTGTAAAGAGAATAATATCAGTTCAAAATAGCAAGACAACCATTCAATTGCTTTACAAATGAAAGAGGAGTTGTTACGTGGACTTTTTTTATGTCTAGTGCAATAAGTTAAAGTGGTACCATAAATCAATATATTCACAGCAAAGACAGATAGCTTAGTTCAGTAACAAGGACACATGTCTGGCAGTTACTCACATCTTCTAGAGGCTCTCCGATAGTTTCAGATTCAATTATTTTGAAATCCAGTTTCTTCAACCTGTAATGATAAAACAATACTCTGAAAATTAGTAATGATATGAGATATCTTGTAATTTAATTAAATTCCCTCATCACTTGTTTTCCTTTCTAAAAAATGAATTACAAGAGCTATTATTGCTAGCAAACGCAAAACCCTTTGCAATGCGTTTTAATAAAATTCACTTTCCACAAAAATTAATGTCATTCTAAAGCCTCATACAATCATATTCTACCCTCAATCTCAATTCCGTGTCAGAGATGCAGATGAGAGTATATAAAACTCGATTTATATAAGTCTATTGACTCATGAAGAAAAGATAAGAACTTTCAAATCGTAGATAAAATTTTGCTTTTTGTAAAGAAAAGAAAATTGACAAATTTACCTGTTGCTTTCCTTGGCTCTTGGCTTGGCCAATTTCTTCATGATCTGCTTTTAGGGTCTTTTTTCCTTTTCTTTCAGCAACCACTTCCTACAATAAAAAGTTAATTTGATTGCGCACGATATTAAAATATACAAAACAACAACTTATTTAAAAGGTTCCTGCATGTACTGATTTCTTCAATATTGATTAAGTGCATATAATTATTATGAAAATTGCTTAACAAAAAGAATGAGACAGCAGATTGTCATATATTTGAAAATTATTTCGAGAATATCATGGTTTGAGGGACCAGTAGACTTTCAAAATATGTCATCTCTTAATATTGACCATCTCTTGTCACCTCTTACTTACCTATGATCGGAAGATGTTGTTGAGCGAAAACTTCAATAGGGACATGGTTGAAACCAAAACTTTGTCAAGTTTAAGAAGTATATTCAAAATTTAAAAATGATTCCCCTCTAGCAAATGTATCTACAGGTCTAAAGATTTTTTTTCAACTTAACCCAATTGACCAAAACTTCTCAAAAATACAAATTATTCAGGGCCTCGTAATTCAAACAATACATTCCGTTGAACATGAAGAAGGTATTTTCTTAATACATCCGTTGCCCCAATAACGCCAATATTTATTAAAATAGGTTCTAAAGACTCCATTTGGTAAAATTCACTTTAAATGCAACGTTTCCCTTTAGCAGGTGTAACTAAAAGTGGCAACTGGCATTCGTATTGGTAACAACCAGGTGCCTCTTGACATGTGTCTCTTTTGAGGGAAAAGAGTTCCTTACTCAAAGTCCCTACTTTCATACGGCATTTTCAATAAACATATTTATTTAAATTAAATGTATTTTCTTATATGTATGTAAAAAGCAGTTTAAAGGATTTAACTCCAAATAACCTAGTTGGATAAACACCACAGTAAAAGTTTAATTGACTCATGAAGAAAAGATAAGAACTTTCAAATCGTAAATAAAATTTTGCTTTTTGTAAAGAAAAGAAAATTGACAAATTTACCTGTTGCTTTCCTTGGCTCTTGGCTTGGCCAATTTCTTCATGATCTGCTTTTAGGGTCTTTTTTCCTTTTCTTTCAGCAACCCCTTCCTACAATAAAAAGTTAATTTGAATCGCACAATATTAAAATATACAAAACAACAACTAATTCAAAAGGTTCCTGCATGTACTGATTTCTGCAATATTGATAAGTGCATATAAATATTATGAACATTGCTTAACAAAAAGAATGAGACAGCAGATTGTCATATATTTGAAAATTATTTCGAGAATATGATGGTTTGAGGCACCAAAAGACTTTCAAAATATGTCATCTCTTAATTTTGACAATCTCTTGTCACCTCTTACTTACATATGATCGGAAGATGTTGTTGAGCAAAGACTTCAATAGGGACATGATTGAAATCGAGACTTTGTCAAGTTTAAGAAGTATATTCAAAACTTAAATATGATCCCCCTATAGCAAATGTATCTACATGTCTAAAGCCTTTTTTTTAACTTAACCCAATTGACCAAAATTTCTCAAAAATACAAATTATTCAGGGCCTCATAATTCAAACAATACCTTCCGTTGAACATGAAGAAGGTATTTTCTTAATACATCCGTTGCCCCAATAACGCCAATATTTATTAAAATAGGTTCTAAAGACTCCATTTGGTAAAATTCACTTTAAATGCAACGTTTCCCCATAGCAGGTGTAACTAAAAGTGGCAACTGGCATTCCCATTGGTAACAACCAGGTGCCTCTTGACATGTGTCTCTTTCGAGGGAAAATAGTTCCTTACTCAAAGTCCCTACTTTCATACGGCACTTTCAATAAACATATTTATTTAAATTAAATGTATTTTCTTATATGTATGTAAAAAGCAGTTTAAAGGATTTAACTCCAAATAACCTAGTCTGATAAACACCACAGTAAAAGTTTGATTGACTCATGAAGAAAAGATAAGAACTTGCAAATCGTGGATAAAATTTTGCTTTTTGTAAATAAAAGAAAATTGACAAATTTACCTGTTGCTTTCCTTGGCTCTTGGCTTGGCCAATTTCTTCATGATCTGCTTTTAGGGTCTTTTTTCGTTTTCCTTTAGCAACCCCTTCCTACAATAAAAAGTTAATTTGATTTCGCACGATATTAAAATATACAAAACAAATTAGTTTAATTTTGTAATATTACAGGAGCGTTGTAAACCGACCAAAATTCAACTCTTGCTAGTTAATGTATACACACCAATATACTTTATAAAGTCAAGATAGGCATCTTCCGACAATCCATAACATTCCCGACCATCCGTAAAATTTACCGACCAACTTTCCAGAAGTGGGAGGCTGTACCTCCACCCCCCCCACGCACACACCCCGGTAGGCATTATGAACATTGCTTAACGGAAATTTCAAGCAACATGCTTATTTAATTTGATTCCCTTTTCATAAAAGCCTAAGTTACAAATAGTTCAACTAACATTTCAACTAACATTGGAAAATCCTTAAGTTTCTAATTGAAAATGATGTCAATTTGATTTATTGACAGGGCAATTCACTACCAGTGGAGCTATGTGTGATTGATAATGGAAGGCTTTATTTTATAATAAGAAATTATATAGTGTCATGTATGTTTGCTCTATGGTTATATTAAGATAGTAAAGTCGGTTTGATTTTAATCATTATGTTTCGAATCAATGGTTTGCTTCAACCGTTTTGCTTCCTATCAAAGATCCCCGGGGGTGGTGGTACCTAAAGTAAATAATGGGTATGTGCGAGCCCAAGTTTTGGGTGTTATTTCAATATTTCTCTCCAGTTTTTGGTTTGGTGAATTAAGAATGATGTCCTGTTTTGGGTACTATTTTTGCCGTGAATCATCGAGTTTTGGGGTAAAGTTTTGTTTGCATCTTTGCACATACCTGTCCTTACCTTCAGGTACCTCCACCCTCGGGCAAAGAATGCAAGTCCAATTGACAATCATAAAAAGTAGGAGACAAGTTTCCCAGTCGAATATTTGAATATGTCAAACTTAGATTTTCAATGATTTTCTTGCCTGTTTTCGCCAAGGAAGATCATCCAAGCCATAGTCGTACCGAAGTTCTTCCCCCTGCGTAATAGTTCTTGTGGCAAACAAGCAAAGATGGGGAACTTGGCCAACCATAACTTTCTGCATATTGCAGTTTCCCAGCTTGCTATCGTCCACCAATCTTCCAAGACGACCAGAGGGCTCTGTAGCATCAACACTGGAAAAAAATGGTTAGCTTAACACTATCAATACTAATAGGTGCAATTTGCTATCATAAAAAGGACGTAGCCAGGTTGGAGCTGGGATGAACCACGTTCAGCAATTGAAAAATCTTTAAAACGAGATCTGCAGCATTTCTCAATTTTTTGCCGATGCAAGTTGCTATTGTCTCCACTGTCGTTTACAAATGATGAAAGTTTGCTACGACTACTGAAATGATGATATAATGGCATATACGAAGAGCATGCTTCAATATGTTTTCGGACTGAAAATTAATAGACAGAAGTACATCCTTTGTATTGCCAATGTTTGTTATCTGTAAAATCATAAGCCTAACCTCAAGGTTGGGTTTTATTATTTATGAAAAAAGTGTAATATATATTCCCAAGAATTTCAGATGTCCCTTATAGCAAGTATTTGTGTCCAGCAGGTTTCTACCTTTATTTTACTCTAACATCTAATATTAATACATTTAAAATTTCTGTGAGAATGCTTGATTCCTTCAGGAGCTTCACACTTTCATTAGAGGAAAAGCTAAGGGGTCGTACCAAAACAGATTTTGTGATTCTTAATTGCATGTTGCCGTTAAGATTTTGAGCCACCTCCCCTCTAGCTCTTAGCGGACATCCAAGTTTCTTAAAGAATAGTTTCTTATAGAAATCATGCAACGCACATAAGTCGGGGAAAAGTGGATATTTGTTACCCATCGGTGCCGATCGTCCCAATAACCAAGAAGAAGTAATGCAAATTCTGTATGCTTATCTGTTCATTTCAAAAGGGAGGGTTTTTAGATCTAGTCGTATCTCATTGTTTTATAACAATGTTCAATGAGAAGTGATGTCCAAATTTAAGAGTATCTCTGTATTCTCTTTATTCATGAAAAATTAGAATAGAATCTTTGACCGTTTCTGTCCACCTGTAGTAGGATTAATTCTATGTTTAACACACTATCATTTTTCTTGCACATGCGCACTGTAAATAGTATAAAAAGTCTTGTTATTGTAATTAAGGGGAGTTGTTGAGTCGGTTTTGAATAATAATCTTGTAATGGTTTTTGTGTGTTAATGATCTGGTGAAAATGAAAAAGTCGAGTTTCCCTTAGTGTGAAACTGAATGAAACATAAAGCTCTACCACATGATCCCTTCCCCCCCACCCTTTAACTGCCAAAAGGCGTTAAGAATTGTAAAGGCTGTTTTGGGACGACATCTAACTGAACAACTAATATTTCGGCCCACCATAATTCCAATAAATAGTGAAATAGGCCAATGTCCTCGCAAAGTGTGTATTTATTGCCTATTATAATAAATAGATAAGAAAGGCTGATGTCCCCACAAAATGTGTATTTTCTTTTGACTGAAAAAGTAGATGTTGAAGGCCAATTTTCCCATTAAGTGCCTTGAAAGTTCGGAAAGTTCGAAATATTGATGTTTTCTTCCAGAAAACCTTTACCGTAACGTGAAGATCTGTCAATATCTCGAGTCGTCTGGTAAATAACTTTGCTTTTGTATAGAGGGTCCACGGACTCCGTGATCTTCTCCAAAACGTCTCTAAATTTAGCTCTTCGGGCTTAAAACCTACCAGAGCAACATCTTTAGACCACCAACGGGTCTCCCAAGTCTGTAGAATTCTCCATTTGCATTTTGTGCTTACCCCCACCAAAACACCCAATCTCTTACCCTTTGTCCAATCAAGTCCAGACAATTTTGATGAAGATATCTGTCTAGAACACCTTGCCCCTTTTAAAAGAAAGGCATCCGAGTTAAGAAAGGGAATGACAGAACGGATATTTTGAATTTTATATTCCCTCGTAAAAACTTTTTTTAGAAAATTAAGGGCAAGGGTGGATGGGCCTGGGATACGATACATTCCGTGCCAGTCCGCCACTGATACTGACCTTGCCTGTCTGACCTGCACTGCTGAGAATTCTTTTTCAGGTCTAAAAGCTGGGTTACACGATCACTTTTTACCATCACTTTGTTCGATATTGGACCAACATGCTAAAATGTGATCATGTAACATACTAAAATTGTCAATTTTCTCTGCAGAATTTAATGCGCCAGGTGCAGAATAAAATTGAGTTCATCACTTTTTTTCAAAGGCGCCGACAAATTCTTACGTCACATAATGTTTTGATGAGAAGGAAACGGCCTAGAGTTTCGAGAAAAGAAGAAAAAGACGTGTATTGTACTCAGAAACATAATTATTAGCAGAAAACGAATAGGAATAATGATTTTGAGTAGATCGAAGAGCAGCACCTTGCAGAAAAATAAATGCAGTTTGATAAAATGCACTCATTGTTTATAAGAAACCCACTATAAGAAACCATTACTTGAAAATGAGAGGCATATCACTGAAAAAAATCTCGTTTGTGATAAAATCACAAAAAGTCTCAAATAAATCAGTAAAATCACGCAAAAACTCGGAAAAATCACTCGAAATCACACAAAATCACAGAAATATTGAGATGGAAATATCAAGCAAAACAGATCAAATATCAATTTACAGATTCTCACTTATCATTGACAAGGGGTCTTACTTTGATATATATTACCAATACTCTGTACCGACAGCAGGAACAACAGGAAATGTTGATATATGAAAAAGGTGATAAACTAAAAAGAATATTAGTTTTCAAAAAGAGCCAATCAAGGAAATTACCAATCTTTGGTGCCTCATACTATTTAAATTCGAAAACGTTGGATCAATATTTATATTAAGTTGGATCAATACATATCAATGAACGTTTCTAACCTCGATTATTTCAAAATTGACCTGAATTTCTTCAGGGAGGGCGGCAAACATGACTTGACTATCATCATTGATGATAGTGCCATCCTCAAGAGCCATGTCTACCACAGCTCCCTGATGTCTAAGCGCCTTTTTTTCTAGAGAAAAATGAAAATGTTGAGTTTATGCCTAATTTCTGCTGCTTAACATGAGAGGCATACCACTTTTCTTAAAAAGTTTACGAGATTTCATAAAGCAATAGGATTATTGGGGATTATTCACGGGTTTTTCTTGATAACCAACCAAAGGATTTCTGCCAAAGGTTTACAAAATTTCTACGGAGTGATATGCCCCTTGGCTTACCATGCATTCTGCAAAAAGGGCCTTTAACTTATTCCAACAAACTATAAATAAACTAACGCGTTTGTCAAACTTTTGGATGCATTTTCTATCTTATTGACTGACAGTGAAAAAACATAGGTAAAATGGAAAAAATGCTCTGTTAACTGCCAACTGGAACCAAGGCCCTGAGGTTATTATATTTTCCTTGCTTAATCCTTCTGAATTAAATTCTAGTCAGATGGGGATGAGTGTCAATATACTCATTTTTATAAGAAACGGTAGGCTCAATTTTGCGAAAGTTGAGAAACAACCCTACCCAAATTGAAAAAAGCTAAGAAACTTTTATGATTAGCATTTTTTTCAAGTTGACACTCGAAACAGTCTTGAAATTGAACATCACTGTATATTGCAATTCTACACCTGACATGAAGTTTGCATTCATTCTCAGCAAATTGCAAACTTTAGAAGTTTCCATTAAAAAATTTGTTTTCACTTCAACTTGACAGCGATGAAGTTCAATGAGCTTAACTGTTTACAGATCTCAACAGAGTTAGTGATGCTAGGAAAAAAAATTCTTTGGTAATTTTTTCTTCGTTTATCTTGAATGTGAGTGAACTATTACTTTGGAAGCACGTTTACTTTACTTTAGAAGCACGCTTAAAAAATTCATTACCCATGAAATTTAAGAATCAAGTAAGAAACTTTTGATAGCAAAATAGCCAGAAAATTTAAGAAACTGCCTAAGAGCACGGTACCTTTGTTTCATATAAAAAATACGTGCACCTAGGTATGAAAGTTTTTCTTAAATTTTCCTGTTTTCAACTTGAATCAGATTAATAAACATATCAATCCATTAATGTTATGTACCAGATCAAAATCAATAATCCAAGTTCATATAGCGGGTAAAAGAATACTTCATCAAGTTCAACAGCTCTCACCTTTCTCCCTTAGCTCCTCTACACTGTCTGCCTCCATCAGGGCAGTGACCCTCCTACTTCCTCCCTCGTTCGAGAAGCATGCCTAAATCCAAGTCATCTGAGAAAAAAGAAGCTCATCATTCACAAGCAACGAAATTATAGAAAGAAGGTATAGCAAACATGAAATTAACCCAGAATAGTAATCTTTTGCAATGAAGAGCGATTCAGCAGTTTTTTGTGGCAGTAAACGTCTTACCTCTATCACGTTTAGTTCGAACTAAAGCAAGTTTCGATTCGACCACCTCCACAGTCTTAACAAATGAAGTGTCAATTAACCTGTTGTTTTTTGAGCGCCAAAAGCTAAGACTCAAGCAAAGACACGTGAATGAGTCTACATCCTGTCGACTTTGTCACACCTCATCAGAATGACCTGATGGCTGTTTCAATTCAATGTAAATTTGTAGAATTTGCACTGAAATTACGCTTCCACTTATAGTATAGTCACAACTTTGCTATAAACTTGCATGTTTGCCACCCACAATAGTGAGAGTTACAAATTTCCTGCTCTTCCCAATAATTATGAACTTGTTCCCTAATAAATAAGGCTGGGCGATGGTCAGTGGCGAAGACAACAGCCAATGCTTCTTCTCTGTGGCCAGGAAAATGCCGGTTGGGAGGGGGGGGGGAGTTGTTTGCAGATGTTTGCAAACTTCAAGAAAGTTGGTCACAGAGCATTAATTAGAAAGTTTGACCAAATCTCAACCTATAATTCATTTATTTTATTGGTCATGGTTGGTCATGGTCAATTTTCTTATAAACCCAATAAATATATTGTAAAGAATCAGCTTTTGCTACTTATGATTTATTTATTGAAGAATTTGCCCAATTAGGACATGCTACTTGCACAATGAAGGCAATTTCTATTTTTGCCAGCCACAAGGTGCCAATCCCAGCAAAGTACCACGCCCAATTTTTATAAAAAATGTTCAAATTTCTTATCAAAAATCTGTAAAAATTTCTTATTTTAGCCCCTGTTGATACATTAACAATGGTGATAGGGATGAAAGCCACAAAAAGGAAAACACAAAAAATTTATTAATCAGTTCTTTTCATTTTTGGCCCCCAAGTGACTCAATAATTTTATTTAAATGATTTTTTACTTCTTCCCTCTTTTGAGGGCAGACAGTCCTACCATTCCTTAGCTGCAGTTCATGGTCTGCCTTTCCACAAAAACTGCATCTCGTCATGGCTGCTGCTGGTACCTGTAGGAATTATTTTAAATATCAATCATAATGACAACAATAATCAAAATTCTGAAAACTCTGATAAGCATTCACAATATTGTGACCAACTAGAGTTTTTGTAACCAACTATAAAGAAACCCCTCTCTAACTCAGATTGGCAGGGGCTATGCCTCTTCCCCTAGTGCTACCCTCTTGTTTCCCTAATGCTCCCTACATGGTGCTACCACGTTTTTCCTTCCTCTTATGAAAGATGGAATCCTAGTTGTCCATTAACCCCCCCCCCCTCGTCTCTAATGGCTGTCACCGCCCATGCGTATACATGGGGTATTAGTCAAATAATTCTGTTATCTCAATTCCCCAACCTTGAATTTCGTTGCACTGCACCTGTAAATAGTGTTCTAAGTGTTCTGAGAGTATATATTGGAGCCTCTTAATGCTATAGCGACAAGGGCATATGAAGCATCTCAAAAGTTAGAGGGCCAGATCAAAAGAAGGCTAATGACCACACCCATAGGTGGCCAAAGTTCCAAAAGGTTCCGGGCACTTTTAGATTTGGAAATGCATTTTCGCACTGTGTACCAAAACGTGGAGGGGCAGGTGATCATTTGTTGCCTCCATATTATACTGCACCTAAAATCTTAAAAGTTTCAACATTGAGACCTAACAATTTGTTTTTAATGATCTTTGGAAATAGCTTTTTGAATACATTGAATTTTCAAACGAAGATTCATTAGGCAATCATCTGTTTGTGTACATTAAGCTATGCATAGAGGAAGGCATTACCCCAAAAGTTTGAACATGAAGAAGGTATTTTCTTAATACATCTGTTGCCCCAATAACGCCAATATTTATTAAAATAGGTTCTAAAGACTCCATTTGGTAAAATTCACTTTAAATGCAACGTTCCCCGTAGCAGGTGTAACTGAGAGTGGCAACTGGCATTTGTAGTGGTAACAACCAGGTGCCTTTTGAGATGTGTCTCTTTCGAGGGAAAATAGTTCCTTACTCAAAGTCCCTACTTTCAGACGGCACTTTCAATAAACATATTTATTTAAATTAAATGTATTTTCTTATATGTATGTAAAAAGCAGTTTAAAGGATTTAACTCCAAATAACCTAGTTGGATAAACACCACAGTAAAAGTTTAATTGACTCATGAAGAAAAGATAAGAACTTTCAAATCGTAAATAAAATTTTGCTTTTTGTAAAGAAAAGAAAATTGACAAATTTACCTGTTGCTTTTCTTGGCTCTTGGCTTGGCCAATTTCTTCATGATCTGCTTTTAGGGTCTTTTTTCGTTTTCCTTTAGCAACCCCTTCCTAGCAATAATAAGTTAATTTGATTTCGCACGATATTAAAATATACAAAACAACAACTAATTCAAAAGGTTCCTGCATGTACTGATTTCTGCAATATTGATAAGTGCATATAAATATTATGAACATTGCTTAACAAAAAGAATGAGACAGCGGTTTGTCATATATTTCAAACTTGTTTCGAGAATACGATGTTTTGAGGCACCAGTAGACTTTGAAAATATGTCATCTCTTAATTTTGACCATCTCTTGTCACCTCTTACTTACATATGATCGGAAGATGTTGTTGAGCAAAGACTTTAATAGGGACATGATTGAAATCGAGACTTTGTCAAGTTTAAGAAGTATATTCAAAACTTGAATATGATCCCCCTATAGCAAATGTATCTACAGGTCTAAAGCCTTTTTTTTAACTTAACCCAATTGACCAAAATTTCTCAAAAATACAAATTATTCAGGGCCTCATAATTCAAACAATACCTTCCGTTGAACATGAAGAAGGTATTTTCTTAATACATCCGTTGCCCCAATAACGCCAATATTTATTAAAATAGGTTCTAAAGACTCTATTTGGTAAAAGTCACTTTAAATGCAACGTTTCCCCATAGCAGGTGTAACTAAAAGTGGCAACTGGCATTCGTATTGGTAACAACCAGGTGCCTCTTGACATGCGTCTCTTTCGAGGGAAAATAGTTCCTTACTCAAAGTCCCTACTTTCATACGGCACTTTCAATAAACATATTTATTTAAATTTAAATGTATTTTTTTATATGTATATAAAAGGCAGTTTAAAGGATTTAACTCCAAATAACCTAGTTTGATAAACACCACAGTAAATGTTTAATTGACTCATGAAGAAAAGATAAGAACTTGCAAATCGTAGATAAAATTTTGTTTCTGTAAATAAAAGAAAATTGACAAATTTACCCGTTGCTTTTCTTGGCTCTTGGCTTGGCCAATTTCTTCATGATCTGCTTTTAGGGTCTTTTTTCGTTTTCCTTTAGCAACCCCTTCCTACAATAAAAAGTTAATTTGATTTCGCACGATATTAAAATATACAAAACAAATTAGTTTAATTTTGTAATATTACAGGAGCGTTGTAAACCGACCAAAATTCAACTCTTGCTAGTTAATGTATACACACCAATATACTTTATAAAGTCAAGATAGGCATCTTCCGACAATCCATAACATTCCCGACCATCCGTAAAATTTACCGACCAACTTTCCAGAAGTGGGAGGCTGTACCTCCACCCCCCCCACGCACACACCCCGGTAGGCATTATGAACATTGCTTAACGGAAATTTCAAGCAACATGCTTATTTAATTTGATTCCCTTTTCATAAAAGCCTAAGTTACAAATAGTTCAACTAACATTGAAAAATCCTTAAGTTTCTAATTGAAAATGATGTCAATTTGATTTATTGACAGGGCAATTCACTACCAGTGGAGCTATGTGTGATTGATAATGGAAGGCTTTATTTTATAATAAGAAATTATATAGTGTCATGTATGTTTGCTCTATGGTTATATTAAGATAGTAAAGTCGGTTTGATTTTAATCATTATGTTTCGAATCAATGGTTTGCTTCAACGTTTTGCTTCCTATCAAAGATCCCCGGGTGTGGAGGTACCTAAAGTAAATAATGGGTATGTGCGAGCCCAGGTTTTGGGTGTTATTTCAATATTTCTCTCCAGTTTTTGGTTTGGTGAATTAAGAATGATGTCCTGTTTTGGGTACTATTTTTGCCGTGAATCATCGAGTTTTGGGGTAAAGTTTTGTTTGCATCTTTGCACATACCTGTCCTTACCTTCAGGTACCTCCACCCTCGGGCAAAGAATGCAAGTCCAATTGACAATCATAAAAAGTAGGAGACAAGTTTCCCAGTCGAATATTTGAATATGTCAAACTTAGATTTTCAATGATTTTCTTGCCTGTTTTCGCCAAGGAAGATCATCCAAGCCATAGTCGTACCGAAGTTCTTCCCCCTGCGTAATAGTTCTTGTGGCAAACAAGCAAAGATGGGGAACTTGGCCAACCATAACTTTCTGCATCTTGCAGTTTCCCAGCTTGCTATCGTTCACCAATCTTCCAAGACGACCAGAGGGCTCTGTAGCATCAACACTGGAAAAAAATGGTTAGCTTAACACTATCAATACTAATAGGTGCAATTTGCTATCATAAAAAGGACGTAGCCAGGTTGGAGCTGGGATGAACCACGTTCAGCAATTGAAAAATCTTTAAAACGAGATCTGCAGCATTTCTCAATTTTTTGCCGATGCAAGTTGCTATTGTCTCCACTGTCGTTTACAAATGATGAAAGTTTGCTACGACTACTGAAATGATGATATAATGGCATATACGAAGAGCATGCTTCAATATGTTTTCGGACTGAAAATTAATAGACAGAAGTACATCCTTTGTATTGCCAATGTTTGTTATCTGTAAAATCATAAGCCTAACCTCAAGGTTGGGTTTTATTATTTATGAAAAAAGTGTAATATATATTCCCAAGAATTTCAGATGTCCCTTATAGCAAGTATTTGTGTCCAGCAGGTTTCTACCTTTATTTTACTCTAACATCTAATATTAATACATTTAAAATTTCTGTGAGAATGCTTGATTCCTTCAGGAGCTTCACACTTTCATTAGAGGAAAAGCTAAGGGGTCGTACCAAAACAGATTTTGTGATTCTTAATTGCATGTTGCCGTTAAGATTTTGAGCCACCTCCCCTCTAGCTCTTAGCGGACATCCAAGTTTCTTAAAGAATAGTTTCTTATAGAAATCATGCAACGCACATAAGTCGGGGAAAAGTGGATATTTGTTACCCATCGGTGCCGATCGTCCCAATAACCAAGAAGAAGTAATGCAAATTCTGTATGCTTATCTGTTCATTTCAAAAGGGAGGGTTTTTAGATCTAGTCGTATCTCATTGTTTTATAACAATGTTCAATGAGAAGTGATGTCCAAATTTAAGAGTATCTCTGTATTCTCTTTATTCATGAAAAATTAGAATAGAATCTTTGACCGTTTCTGTCCACCTGTAGTAGGATTAATTCTATGTTTAACACACTATCATTTTTCTTGCACATGCGCACTGTAAATAGTATAAAAAGTCTTGTTATTGTAATTAAGGGGAGTTGTTGAGTCGGTTTTGAATAATAATCTTGTAATGGTTTTTGTGTGTTAATGATCTGGTGAAAATGAAAAAGTCGAGTTTCCCTTAGTGTGAAACTGAATGAAACATAAAGCTCTACCACATGATCCCTTCCCCCCCCCACCCTTTAACTGTCAAAAGGCGTTAAGAATTGTAAAGGCTGTTTTGGGACGACATCTAACTGAACAACTAATATTTCGGCCTAC